ATAAGAGCATAAAATTGGCCAGCGGCCCAGGGCGGGCCCGACTCGGCCCGTTGACAATGTGAATATTTACATTGACATGTTAACATTCACCTTGATAAGAGTGTAAAATTGGCTCGCAGTCCGTGGGCGGCCCGAAGCCCGACCACAGCCCGAGGCAAGCTTGGCCTGACCCATGAGAATGTGAACATTCGCATTGACATATTAACATTAACATTGATAGGAGTGTAAAATTTGCCTGCTGCCTGAAGCTTGCCCGTAGCCCAGGGTAGGCCCAGCCCGGCCCGTTGACAATGTGAATATTCACATTGACATGGTAAAATACACATTGATAGGAACGTAGAATTGGCCCGCGGCCCGTGGGCTGCCCGTAGCCCGCCCACGGCCCGGGGCAGGCTCGTTTCGGTCTGGGCACGAGCATGTCCGAGACCCTAGGTTAGGGCCTAGGTCATCACTTTGAAGCCCCGCCCGGCCCATCAGCCCGCTTAAGGTCCATTCAAGGCCCGGTCCGAGGCCCAGCCCGCCTGCCCGAGGCGCAATGTATTTTTTTGTGAAAAATAATAAAATTTTGGCAGAAAAAATTAAAAAGAATTAAAAAAAAATGGCTAGGACCAGGCCCACTGGCCCGACCCGAGGCTCGATCCATCGGCCCGTCCAAAGCCCGAATATCCTTGTGCTATGGCTAGGGCCTGGGCCTAATTTTTGGCCCGTGGGCCGGCCCGACCCGGCCCGGGAAAGGCTCGTTTGGGCCCAGGCTCGAGCCTAGTCCGAGACCCTAGGCTAGGGCCTGGCCATCACTTTGAAGCCCGGCCCCGCCCATTAGCCCGGTTAAGGCCCATTCAAGGCTCAGTCCGAGGCCCGGCCCGCGCCAAGGCCTAGTGTCTTTTTTTGTGGAAAATAATGAAATTTTGGTAGAAAAAATTAAAAAGAATTAAAAAAAAATGGCCAAGCCCACCCCGGGCCGTGGGCGAGTTTCGGGCAACCACGAGGGACGGGCTAATTTTACACTCCTATCAATGTGAATGTTAACATGTCAATGTGAATATTCACATTGTCAACGGGCCGGGCCGAGCCGGGCCCGCCCTGAGCCGCTGCCCTATTTTATACTCTTATCAATGTGAATGTTAACATGTCAATGTGAATATTCACATTGTCAACAGGCCGGCCCGAGCCTGCCCTGGGCCGCCTACGGGCCGTGGGCGGGTTTCGGGCAGCCATGAGGCGCGGGCTTATTTTACACTCCTATCAATGTGAATGTTAATATGTCAATGTGAATATTCACATTGTCAACGGGCTGGGCTGGGCCCGCCCTAGGCTGTGGGCGGGCTTTTGGCTGCTCATGGGGCGCGGGCCAATTTTATACTCTTATCAATGTGAATGTTAACATGTCAATGTGAATATTCACATTGTCAACGGGCCGGACCGGGCCCGCCCCGGGCCGCCCATGGACGCCGTTACGGGACGCGGGCCAATTTTACAGTCCTATTAATGTGAATGTTAACATGTCAATGTGAATATTCATATTGTCAATGGGCCGGGCACGCCCCGGCCCGACTCGAATTTTTCCGGGCACCCACGAGGATCGACATGGGCTGGGCCCCTACACATTGAAGATATGAACGTTCACATAGACGGTGTGAACATTCACGTTAAGGGTATTTTGGTAATTATGTCACCCATAGGACTTATTAAAACATAAGAAAATAATGTGAATTAAATGAAACATAAGTAGATGAAAATGGTATTTTGGTCTTCTATCTCAAATAGGACCTAATAGAATAGTCAAAAACAATATGGGTTGGATGAAATAAAACTCTTAGAAAGTGGATTTATCCAAAAAGCTCCCTAAAAACATTCAGGTCCAGAAAATTAATTATACATGCACAGAAGCATTTTAACGTAAAAATATTAAATTAATAGCTCAGAAAAAATATTGTTTACGTTTCATAAGATCTGAAATTTAAACATATTGTAGAAAAAATAATTACAAGACTAACAATACGAGCCATGCTCAAAACAGAATTATAACAAATATTTTAGAAACAATTAACGTAGTTTTTTAAATAAATAAAAAAAAACAAACATGGCCCAAACGTCCCAGCGCCTGCGTCAGGTTAGCGCGTGTTTTTTTTGGGTAAGTATGGTTAGCGCGTGTTAGCGTGTGCATCAGCGTTCGTGTCATGACGTGTTAGCGTGTGGTCAGCAGGTGATCAACACTTGCCTAAGCGCATGTCAATGCACGCGTCAACACTACATCAGCGCAACGCATCAACGGCATCATCTTCTGTGTTTTATTTATTTTTATTTTAATACCGTTTTCACATAATTTTTTTCATTAATATCTGATAACATTGAAACGTAAAATTTCAAATAACGATTCATTATCTATTAATGTAATTTTACGGATATTATATACATGTTAATGTTTATAAACAATATAAATTTAATTGCAAACAAAATAAAATTTGGTAAACCGTTTTGATTAAATAGTAGTATTTTATGCGAACAAAAATAATAAACCTATATATTAACATAAAATAACAATTTTATAGATTTTCAATAATACGAAAACATGACTCTGATATCAATGAAAGAAATATAATACTATATACACAGTGGAGCTATTATATGGATTTAGGCATACCTAGTGGATAAACAGATTGTACAATAAACTTAGCTTAAAAAGATGAATTACGAACTCTTGAATACTTTCTACCAGCGATGGAGTAAGGCTACCAGAGTTTTACCCACACTATGCACCGTACAAAAGGCAATATGATTTATGGAAAGAGAGAATATATATATTTTTTGTTGTGTGAAATATAAAATCCAAATTCTGTTTATATAGCAGAGTTAGGAGACACATATGATAGATATATTATCCCAGATAAAGTCTATCTCATATCAAGAATATCTAATTAATAATTATCACAGTATTAATAATTATCTCATATAAAGATTATCCAATATATTGAATAACAAATATAATCTGTTATATTTGTTTGATCTCTCCTAACAAGGTCATGCTACCATGAGCGACCTAGTTGGGTTCGGGTTTTAAACCCGACTCAATTTCCAACATCTCTAACCTAACATCACCGCATTAGTAATCCACTCACTCAATCCCCCAGTATTCACAATATCATCCAATCTAATCAGGTAAACAAACAAGTGTCTCAAAATCATTAACTTTAAACTCTAATTTGAATGGAAAGACCTAATTGAAACTAGAATTAAAATGTCGGGACCAAACTGTTTAATTTAAAATAAAGGAATCAAAGTAAAATTAAAATCCAATCAAACTATAAAGGTGAAAATTGTAGTTAACCCATAAACGATTGCCTGGCTTCTGAATAACTTCTCATTCTATAGCATAAGTTCAAAGCATCAATTCTTCTGCAAAATAAAACTCTTTTCAAAGTTTTCTGCAGTTCAAGAGAATTAATTTTTATTTTACATTTTGTATATGAAATATAGGCCATCTTGCTGCACCAGCATCATACTTGAATTATTTATACATACGAAGTTTTAAAGACCACCTTTTGGTGCTGCAAGGAATGCTGGAGAGCAGAGACACAAAATGAAGCTGCAGACAAGAAGCTACTAAGTCATGGACTGGTAAGTAAGACGTCACATAAAATTACAAAGACAGTGTGGGTGTTGTCAATGAACATCAGACTAATTCAAAGCAAAACTTACAGAGATCAGATCCCCAGTTCATATTTCACAAGCCAGAGATATCCATAATTAGTACTACATTTGGATGATCATAATTAGCAGCTTTAAATGGGCATGAATTAAGAAGTGCAGCTATGTCGGGGTTTATTTGAATCTGCAAAATCCCCTCAAAACTTCTTACTGTGTAAAACGTATTCGTCTATTCATTGACCTGAAGCAGATGTTCTAAAAACAATGTGGTGATCTACTCTAGAATTGATGAAATAGGACAAACAGAGATAAGTCAGTAGGAAAGGCACGCCCATGATGCTATCATTAAGATTGTAATTTCCCCTCTATGATACAGGACTCTTGCGATGTTCTAGATACAATGCCTAGTATGAAGACAGTTTTAAGGTTGCATTCCCTAGACGTCTTGCAACCAGAATTTTTTTTTAGGTGCATCTTGTAACCAGAATCTTAACCCAGAAAATCAAAAGAAACAAAAAGCAGTTGTGTGTCTATGGAGTGCAAGTGAGAAATTGGGTTTCCTCCAAAAGTGAAAGTGTAGAAAGATTATTGTTATTAGACAGTAAATAATATACAACAGCAGAATGGAAAACGCTACTCACTAGGACATTTTCAATGTCTTAACACAAGTTCAAAATCAAAATAGTGCCAAGAAATGGAAACCTAAAGCCATGAATGTCTTCACCATAATGGATTGTTGGATGTCATCTGCTATATAGCTGCAATACTTGGAAAAAGGAACCCTTGAGGCAGTTCAATGATCTTAACCATGAAGAAGAGGATCTCACATCTTTAATCAGAAGAAGGTAAAATAAATTGGTTTCTTTTGTGGACATCCTTCAGAATCCAATTGAGAATTATGCTCAAGAGCAGTAAAATTGAAATACTTTCAAAATGTTCAAATTCCAAAACCTAGATAACAGAAACGACTACTCTGTCAATGATACTCACCTGAAAATTCAATACTCATAGGAGATGAAATTCACTGAATGAGACACATTGTGAATTTCGTGTGTGGTCCTAACAAGTCAACCTACGTTCATCTAACAAACAAATAGGCATTAACTAAGCCAAATGATTATCTCACATCAGCGTCTTATTCTGCTGTGAATTTCATGTGTGTTCCTAGCAATACTGAAAGTAACTCAGCCTACCGTCATCTAACAAACAAATAGGTATTAATTAGTCCAAATGGTGGATTGACAAAACAACACATGTTCATAGCCCGAAAGAACACCACAAAAGTCACTTTCCCCTAACAATTCCGTTAAAACTACCTCAGCTTGAAGTTTGTGAGTTTCTCAAAAGCAACACCATAATGGATAATTTCGATTCATTGATTCACTGAATATGAAAAACATGTTGCAACAAGAACCAATTGTAATTTGGATAGCTATGCATCAATTCATTAGAGAGGGCAATAATCTGTCTATTAGAACTCACAAAAAAATACAATGATGCATTGACACCTATCCAAAATAAAACAATTATATTATTCTATAACATGACTATATATATAACAAGCCATGGAAAAAGAATCAAGGCCAGTGAGTGACACAAAAAATTAATAGAGTTCACTATAGACGAGCAGTAGGGCCTGCAAAATTATGGTGTAAGAGATTGTGAGCAATGTGATGCCTGGCTTGCTCAGCACCGACAGACCTCACACTATTCTCCAGCACCATCTCATCATCGAAGATATCGAACCACAGCTCCGGATCCATTATTTCATTTCTCATCTCACAAATGTTGTGCAATACACAACACGCCCCAAGAACTACCGGCAAGTCTTGGAGTTTCACCTCTGTTCTCTTCTGCAAACAAGTCCACCTCCCTTTCAACCTCCCAAAAGCCTCTTTTGCAACCCCATGAACCTCACCAATTTTCTCATTGAAAGCATGTTGAGCCCAAGTGAGGTTTTTGTGAGTGTAAGGAACCAAAACCCAATCCATTAATGGGTACCCAGAATTCCCTGCAATCAAAACATCCTTCAAAAGCCCCCGATTGGCGCGTTGAAACAAGGCAGACTTTTCCAAAATCTTATCATCAGGCATTGAACCAGGCCATCCAATGCAAACATCAGTGAAAACCCCCTTAGAATCAACAACCCCTTGAACAGTAATTGAATAAGAATTCTTCTGATTTCGCTCCGTGTGCCTCTTATTGAAATAAGCAGCAGCACTAGTCTTTGGGGCAATAATGGGAACATGTGTTGTGTATACTGAGCCACCCACATTGGGAATCCCAGAAATCAATTCAAATTCATCTTTAACCTCCTTCAATTTACTCTCGTCAGGCCATTGAAGAAATTTAGGCATTAGAACACTCTTGATCGCCGAGCAAACCTCAAGAACAAGCTTGTGACAAGTCGAAATCCCCAACCCAAATCGTTTCGACACGACACGAAGTGGCTCACCTGTTGCTAATCTCCATATACACACAGCAACGCGTTGGCGAACTGGGATTGCCATTCGAAGCATTGTGTCTTTCTTGTTCACAGCCGAATCGAGCTCGTCGCAGATCAAATCGAAGGTTGCTCTGCTCATCCGAAACGCTCTGCGAAACTCTTCTTCTGGGAAATCTGGGTGATTGCAGTGTTCCCACCACGCTTTCGACCGGTTTTTGACCCACAAACGGCGGTGCTGGCCGCCGGAACCACCACCCAATTGGGCCGAATTGTCGGAGACTTCGCAGCGAGTCCTTTTGGTTTTGAGTTGTTGAGTGTCATCAAGATTATGAAATTGATTGGAATAGTCGTTGTTCATGGATTGCGATTTGTGGTATTGTTGTTGCTCTGATTTCTGTTCTTCGTCCAAGAACAACAATGTAGCGACTACGTCGTTCAATACAACCTCTTCAGGGACTTGTTCTTCGGTTCTTCGCCGCTTTTTGGTGATGATATCTTCTTCCTGTGTCTCTTGGAAGATGCTGTAAAAATTAGTGTAATCATCTGGGTTGAGAAACGAAAATGGAGAGACTTCCATGAGAGAGAGAGATTGGGATTTTGAAAGTGTTTGATTAGTGATGTTTTTAGTGGGATGAATCATTGTTGAAATGAAAATTTGGAGGAATTAAGAGAAAAGATATGCATCATGGAAATGAAAAGAAAAATGTTTCGGAGCACTAATTAGTGTTCCCACTAATTAGGTGGCAGTGGGTCTCGTCATTAATGATGTGATGTTTTAGTCTTGGAGTTGTGTTTTTTTTTTTTTACTTTTTTAATGCATTAGTGCTATTAGTAGTGATGTTTTTAGTGGGATGAATCATTGTTGAAATGAAAATTTGGAGGAATTAAGAGAAAAGATATGCATCATGGAAATTTTTTCATGAAATTAATTATGAAAAATTTATGATTTTTAAATTATCTTATTTAATGTATGGTATTTTATTTTAAGTGTAATTTAAGAGTTATAAATCTTTTATGATCATTTTCATAAATTTTTTTTCATAATACCTAACATTACTCAGGAATTAATAATAGTAAAATAAATGGGGTTCGTTTGTTTACGCGGTTGGGAAGACTTTGGATTGCGGTCGTGGTTTTTTTTGTTTTAGCCTATGTAGACAAGTGGGGTGGCGGTTGTTGAGAAACACGTTTGGGAACAGGGAAAGTTGGGAGGAAGGTACGTCAAAAGGATGTCTTATAATGACGCAATCCAAAAAGAAAGATAAGGAAAAACTTTCGAATGTTACAAGAAAAATCTCTGCATTTAATTAAGGGTTAATTACACTTTTATTCTTTAAATTATATGTATTTTATCTATTTGGTCCCTTAATTATTAATTGTGTTTCTATAATTTTTAAACTTTAAAAAAGTATGTCTATCAAATTTAATTTGTGTCTGCCGTTCAAATCATTAACCGAATAGCGTTAGTGAAGAACAAAAGAAATATTTTACAAATACATAAAACTGTAGGGAACGTTCCCGTCAATCCTCTGATATCATTTAATATTTTCACTATTAGATTAGGGTTAAAAAATATCATTCGGTATAGATTTTTTTAATTATTTTGTTTTTTATGAAAAAAATAAATAAAATGATTATAGTTTAAATGTAACATTTTATTTCATTAATTTTTTAGTTTATTTTGTTTTTTTTTAAAACTATTTTATCCAAAAAAAAACTAACCCAACTATTATGCCAAACAAGTACATAATAATTTGAGACTAAAATAACCACAAAAATACAAAATAAATTAAAAAACTAATAAGATAAAATATAATATCCAAACTATAATTATTTCATTTTTTTTTACTAAAGTTTAAAAAAATCAAAAAAACTCATCCCAAACAAAACTTTTTAATTCCAAACCAAAATAACTAAAAAAATTAAAAAAACCAAAAAACTAACCCACATCTCAAACAAATCCTTAGTAAAATCACAACTTCATATTGCAATTAGGCCCAACAATTTGTCATTAGAGCTAATTCTCATTCTTACCATGTTTGATATGTCATTAAACCTTGCCCCTGTAATACATACTAATCTTGTCCAAGCAAAATCAACACAACAATTTCAAGTTTTTCTTAAAATTCTTTCTTTTTCCCTTGTATATTCATTTAATTCAAAGATTAAACACAAATATCAAACCAACTAACAAACAAACACAGTTAAACAAACTTTCACATCTAAAAAAAAAAAAAAAAAATACAAGAATTACCCAAAAAAAAAAAAATACAAAAAATAGTTAGAAATCTTCATCAAGCTTGAAGACATAAAGCCCACCATTCCCATTCAAGCTATTCATCACAGAAGCCTTCTGGTACTCTCCAACTCTCGTCTCAAAGAAATTAGTCTTTCCCTGCAAACTAAAAAAAAAAAAAAAAATTACCCAAAAAAAAAAAAAAAATACAAAAAATAGTTAGAAATCTTCATCAAGCTTGAAGACATAAAGCCCACCATTCCGATTCAAGCTATTTATCACAGAAGCCTTCTGGTACTCTCCAACTCTCGTCTCAAAGAAATTAGTCTTTCCCTGCAAACTAATCAGCTCCATCCAATCAAATGGGTTTTGGGCATCATACAATTTTCCATATCCCAAAGCCCCCAAAAGCCTATCAGCCACTAACTCAATATACTTAGGGGTGCTTTGGCAACCCAGTAAAAAATCAACTTTTAGCTTTTTACTCATTTTAAGTCATATCACATCTCACATTTTTTACTCACAAAAAGAAAAAATAGATTAAAAAAGCCAAAAAATTAACTTTTTGCTAACTTCCCAAAAAACCACTTACTCATTAGATCACTGTTCATCCCTACTAGTCCACACAACAAAGCGTCGCACACGAACTCTCTCTCTATCTCCACCGCATCAGTAACGATTCTCTTAACTTGCTCCTCACTTAGCTTCTGAGTCAGCAGCTCATAGATCAAGCAAACAAAATTGCAGTGCAAACCCTCGTCTCGGGAAATCAACTCGTTCGAGAAGGTGAGTCCGGGCATCAAGCCTCGTTTTTTGAGCCAGAAGATCGAGTTGAAGCTGCCGGAGAAGAAGATCCCTTCGACGCAAGCAAACCCTTCTGAAGACTCAATTTCACACGCCTTAACCCAGTTTTCATATCGCAAACCCTAGCCTTAACCCATTTTTGTTACCCCAATTCGCCTCACGTGTTTGGCACATGCATTGAGGATGAAATGTCCATTTTGACCTTCGTAGTAGCCTTTTGTATCACGTGGAATGCACATGCAATGCTATTTCGTTAATGATTTGGACGGCAGGCACAAATTGGACTTGATAGACATACTTTCTTATAGTTTAGGGACTACAAAAATACAATCAATAGTTAAGGAACCAAATAGACAAAATACGTATAGTTTAGGGGGTGAAAGTGTAATTAACCCTTTAATTAAATATCTTAAATCTCTGGTTTTAATAAATATCTTAAATATGAGAATTATGATTTGAGGGATCAACTATCCAAACCATAAGACTTATTGAAATAAAAAAATATATTATGAACGAATTCAAATACAAGTACTTGAAAAAAAAATTATTTCAAAAATTAATCAAAAGATAATAAATATTATAAATATTAATTAAAATTTAAAATTTTTATGATTTTTAAAGATTACCACTCAATGGTAATTTCCCCTTATATGAGTTCACATTATAGGTGGTAATTAGGTAGTCTTTGATAATTAATTAAGCATTTAATTAAATCTGTTTGATAACTAGCACTCGAATCACTTAAAATTTTAAGTAATTATTGTAAATTGAAAGTTAATTTATTTTAAGTAGTATTATTATTGCTTAATAATAATCGAATTTATAAATAATTATGTACAAGTATCAATGTCGACGGGCATGATCCCATTACTACTACTACCCCTACTTTCACTACTACCACCAGCACAACTACTGTCACAATTACTACCTATCCATCATCACTACTAGTACCACCAGCTCTACCACCATTGTCATTATTGTCACAAGTATCACTATCATTTCAATATATCTCCATGGACACCATTGTCACTACCATTATACACTACAATTACCACCATCATCTCTCTACATCCATTATACCACTCATGCACCATCACCGCAAGTATTGTCCCTCCACCTTCATTACCATTGCCATTAGAGCTCTTCAACCCAACACTTTCAATTAGATGATGAAAATATATATTTTTATTCAAGAAGTGAATATAAAGTATCTTACTATTCACCGAAACTCCAACCATAAATCATAATTTTATTCTCTAAAAATTTTCCTCCAAAATGTTTTCAACAAATAGTGAATAATTTTTGTTCATTAATAAATATTTAAGTTTCAAATTTTTGTTAAATATATTTAATACTATACTCATTTTGATGATTTCACTCTTTTTAATGATACCAATTTTACAAAAATTAAATTTATATATTAAAATTATTTGTAATATAATAAAACATATGAAATGAATAGTGTTATGGAGATCCTTATCTATTTCTCATACTCCCTTTATATTTGGAGGATCTACCCATCCTCCTCCCGAATGGAGATGGTTTTAGAGGATGGACTGGAGGTAAAATTTCTTCATATATGAAAATATAGATGATGGGTTGGAGATGCTCTTAGCACCATAGCCACCACCGCTACACCTCTTCCTCACCACCACAAACTTATTTCTTATTTAATTAATAAGAGAAATTAAAAAAAAAGAAAAAAGACCTATTTGACCTTTGTAACAAAATAAAATTTGAGGTTTTAATTTTATCAATTTAAATAATAATATTTTGATTTGTTTTCAATATAAACCATTAGTCTATTTTTGTTAAATAAAATTTACGAAAAAATGATATCTTAGTCATCATTTTAATGTAGGTGTATATAAAATGTCTAAAATATCTTTTTTTTTTTCATTAAGTTTAATGACTAAAATATCATTTTTCCACTATTTTATGAAAAGATAATAAGTAGATGGTTTATATTGAAATCAAATATAAAATTTAAGATTTAAATTGACAAAATTAAAATCTCAAGATCTATTTTGTTACAATGGTTAAATTTTAGAATTTTTTTTTTTGTAATTTTCTGTAATTAACCAGATGCTAATTAATTAATCAATTATTCAAACAGCAGTGCTACAGAGCTCTAATTAGATATGCACTGCAGTAGCTCTAATGAGCTGGCGCACATATAAAAAACAAATGTGAGGTAAAAGACAAAATATGAGAAAGAAAAAGACAAATTAATGCTCCATTAGAGCTCTCATTTTAGAGGTCTAACTCATTTTTCTTATTCAAATCGCTCGGTTTCTTATTTGTTTATAAAACGGATGCTAGTACAAACACTTCATCCTTATATTTGACGGAGCTTATAACTTAAAAGTTGATAATTTATATAACAAAAATTAAAAATATTTTTACCTTTTCAATAATTAATTGGAGATGGGGTGATTGTAGGGGTGAGCATGGTCCAGATTGGACCGGATTGGGGTAAAATCAGGACCAATCCATTATCTACGGTTCTTGAAAAATTGGAACCAATCCAATCCATTTAAATCATGGAACCAATTCGAACCAATCCATTTAAATACGGATTGGATCGGTTTAGGACCATGGATTCACATAATTAAATAACAAATATATATATATAACACTTTAATTTCATAAAAATATAAACATAGCGCTATATTAGTTCCACAATAGCAACATATTTTTCTATAATAGCGACATACTGTTCTAGAATTTAAACAACCACAAGAAAACTAGTTTCACCATAAGTATTTAGACAATTATAAATTAAAACTAAAAACTAACAAACAAAAGTAATAAAAGAAGATATTATACGGTTTTAGGTTTTAGTTTAGATTTTATATAGAATAAGAGAAGATACTATGGGGGAGAATGTATAATAAAAATATAAACTATTTATATACGGTCCGGATCGGTTCCAATTCGGACCGTGGGGTTCAATCTAGAACCAATCCGTGGACTACAGATTTTTAATTCTTCAATCCGGAACCGAACCGCAGATTCAAAAAACCAATCCAAACCTATCGGATTGGACTGGACTGGATCGGATTACGGATTTTGTGGATTCCTTGCTCAGCCCTAGGTGATTGCGACTCACTCAAGGTCATATCTTAGTTACTCGAATCGTTTATTTTTAAGAATTCATCGAAAAGTATATTCTTGTAAAAAAATCAAGTTAATCGGATATTAATAATTTTTTTTATCAAAACACATTTGGATCTATATATATATATATAACAAAAAAAAAAAGAGTGTCATTATATTCTGTGATTGGAACCCTGAGAATGTGTGAATTGTGTTTGACATGCGATTGACTCCTTTGATAATGCCTTTGACATCATGGGGATTTACGTATATGAATTGTCTTATGCCTTTGACGATTGTCAGATAAAGTAGAAAGACTCGATGGAACAGAGAATTGAATACTGAATTGAATTGTGAATTGCAAACTGTAAACTGTTGAGTGAACTGAGAATACGTGTATTCTATTAGAAGTCGACTGCCTCAGTATTGTTGTATTTTACAATTGGTACTATGAGGATATACGGACTATATACGTTGTATGGGTAATTGCCTCGATACTACCTTTGTTGGTTAGAGAATCGGTGTCTAGATCCACTTTGAATTTCTAAAGACTTTTGATTGACCTTGGATAACTGCGATGAGTCACTGGACTGAATACCGAATTGGATTATGAATTATGGAACTATTGAAGAATGAATTGAACTTTTGTGACAAGGGAGTAGACCGAACTCCTGTGACAAGTTAGCTGACATTTGAAATAAATATGTTAGTGACCTGCTTTGAAGAGGGTAATTGGTGAATGTGTGTCTAAGTGTTTTTCGGGACCAACAGGTCGAAGCCGAATATCAGATGGTGGCGGAACTACTTTAATCTCTCTATTTTGGAATGGAAATGGGAATGTGTGACTACGAATTTTGTGGTGGGGCTACCTTGAGCACCCAAGGTATAAGTTCCGTTTGAGTTTTTGAATATGGGATTACTAAGTTGCCTGTCTCCTCCCTGTGAAATTTTTGTAAGATGCTTGTAGACTAGTCACTGTTATACCAATAAGATTGCTTCTTTGCATGAGGTCCTAGTATCTATTGTTTTAGACAGAAATTTTAAAATGTGTTTGAATTTTGACAAGCCTTCAAGAGGCAATGAGAACTGAATTGGGATTCAGCACTACTTTCCATCCATAAGTTGATGTATAGTCAGAAGGGACTATTTAGACTCTGGGAGAAATGCTCCAAATGTGTACTTTAGATCTTCGAGAAGTCAGAAAAATCTGTCCATTATTGGCAGACTCTGCTTACAACAAAAGCTTACGCTCTAGTTTCAATATGACACCATACAAGCCTTGTATGGAGAAAAAGTTGAGTCGTTGACTGATTGAGAACAGAATGTTGCTTGATTTTGAGACTGAGTAGATAACTATCAAAAGGAACGGAACCGTTGAATAAGAAAGTATTCTGAATTGTTTTCGACTACAGGTAAATTAAGTTTGGAGGACCAAACTTCCTAAAGGGGGGGAAGACTGTAATACCCCTGTTCCGTAATATGTTAATCGGTCCTTAATATGATGTGACTATGTGTTTTGATATGATTTTGTGTTCCATTATGTGAAAATATACGGTTTTGAAGTTCTATCTGTTCACCGTGGGAATATCTGTTTGAATATCTGCTTTGGGAATTAAATTGAGGGCCCCATCGTGCTCAGACTCGATTTAAAACAATTTTGTTACGTGGGGTTAGATAAGTGTGTATGTTGAATGGAGTTTTTCTTCAGCAACAAAGGAGAAGCTCAGACTCTGGCTGAGCTTGACATTGTAATGAATCGCAGCAGAGAACCCACTCGCGCGGGAGGTAGGGCGTTCGAAAGACGAGAAAAACGTCAGCCTCTAAGTCGTCGAAGCAGATCACCTCGAAGGGACAAACAGCAGTAGCGAAGTTCTCCATAATCGCGACCGAGAAATGAAGCTGACGTAGTGCCGCGACCGTTGGGTATTATTGTTTTAGTGGGGAATTATTTCTTTGTCTTGGATCTTGGCCTTGATGTTGTCTATGGTGTCGAAGGTCCCAGTCTCAAGGGTGATTATCTCGTTGGTGTGAATCGTGGATTCTAGCGCGGCCAGATCAAGGCATTTCATGTTGCGGGTGCTCTGGTCAGCGGGCATTGACTCAGCACTGCCGCTTGTCCCAATGCGACGCCGTATGAGAATAGATATTGCATGTATGTATTGTTTTGAATTTGCATATTTGAGCTTGAATTACATGACTCATGTTGTAATTTTGGTTGAAATCCATGTATTTGACCATCTTTTCATCCTATGAGATGAGAATGAAGGTTATATGTCACATGCATGTACAATCCATGGAAGTAGAAGCTTTGAATGCATGAAATTGTTACATTGGTAATGAGTTGGTGGAAAATGAGCCATGCATGTAGATAAATTATGAAATTGAGCTTCAATATGTTGTAATTCTATGTTTGTACCATGTTAGTACATGATTATGTGAAGTTCGGACCGAAATCATGCATTTAGAGCCTTTGAATGTCGAGATGAAGCTCAAGAACTCAATCTGGAAAACCCAGATTTTCGATGTCCGCTCGAGCGGGTGAAGTGCTGCTCGAGCGGAGAAATCGAGCTTCCAGCATTTTCTGCAGACATGGTTCCCGCTCGAGCGGGGAAGTTGACGCTCGAGCGGGGAGCTATTTAGATAGGCAGTCCGCTCAAGCGGCCGAGTTCACGCTCGAGCTGGAATTGAAGGCAACCAGTACTTTCGCAGACTTAAGGGTCCGCTCGAGCGGGGACCCTATTTTCTGAAATCCTATTTTTGCATTTTGTGTTCTGTTTTCCGTTCTCTTTCACTTGCAAGCACTCTTAGGCATATGTTAAGCATTGTAAATGAGTTAATGAGACAATAATAAAGCCTGAAGAGGAATTAAAGAACGGATTGAACTGTTAATGACCCTTTTGTGTTCATGAAACGTGTAGGGTCAAGCTCCAGGGCAAATCCATAAGCCGATCACAGTGAGTAATATCGATATTTGAATGCTTGTGAATGCCCAATTGTCTATTCCCTTATAAGCTTTATGAATTGCTAATTGGGATTATGGACGTAAGTTTGATATGAATAAACATAAATGGACCCAAGGTCGTTTTGATAAACATAAATGGACCCAAGGTCGTTTTGACATGAATGAGTGGGCCGAAGG